GACCCTTTTAGATCTTAGTACCCTGAGTTCTGCCCACACAGACCCCCATCTCTGTGACTTCCTGGAGACTGTCTCCCTAGATTAGAAGGTGAAACTCAAGATGGGCAACCATCTGACCCATCCTTTAGCCTGGTGGGCCCCAGAGTAAGCTGAGTACAGATCCCTTGGAAAAGCTCACTCTGAAGCATGGCTAGGAGCTTCAAGCCCCTGCGTCTCTGGTCTTAGGCTTCCATCTGAGCCTCTCCTTCTAGTCATTTGGCAGCTTTCTTTCTTTCTTTTTTTTTTTTTTTCAGGTTTTTGCTGGGTATGGGGAGGGAGACAGAGACAGTGAAAGGGAAAGTGAAAATAATCATCCTCCAAAGGGGATGGCCACACCACAATCCCTTCTTTTCCATTTTCTTCTCGGGATCTTGGGTATGCATGCACATGTGGCCAGTGTAACTTTCAAGCCAACCACTAGGCAGCTTTTTAACCACCCTGAAGCCCTCTCCTAAGCCTTGGACCAAATTGAAATAAACCTTTTTACAGCATGAGAACAGAAGTCTGACTGCTCTTTTCTATTTTCCCAAATCCTTCCAGAGGGCCTAGGATGAGTCACACCCACAAACAGACCATTTTGCCCCAGTGGATAACAGGACCCTTCCTACATCCTGTCCCTGGCATAGTATCTTTGCATGGGTGAGTCATGCCCTCAAACAACTGAGGACAGAAGTCTGACTGCTTCTTCTTATTTTCCAAAATCCTTCCAGAGGGCCTAGGTGAGTCACACCCACAGACATTAACAGACCTTTTTGACTCATTGATAAGAGGACTCTTCCTATATCCTGACTTTGGGATTGTATCTTGTGATTTATACAAGCTCCCTTATCTCTGTTAAAGTACTTTCCTCTCCAATCACCAGCCTAAGAATTGTAAAACCCACCTATAGCCTGTAAGACTCATCCTCACTTTACCATCCCTACCTCCCCATCCTGGTTTCCAAATGTCCCACCTTTTTGTGCCAGACCAAAGAGCTCCTTTCACTAAATTCCAAACTTTGTCTTCACTCTCAAAATCAAATAAAAGGAACCCCTGTATCTTATCACCCCCAAAATTGCAGGGTTACCTTTCTCAAGGCTTGGTCACACATACTAATGTTTAGAAATAAACCACATTAATTATTATTTCTGTAGAGTTGGTTATTTCCATCAACAAAGGGAGAAAAAAGATTGTCATGTGGGATAGGGAGATAATTCTACATTATGCAGGTGGGCCTGAGGCAACCACAAGGGTCCTTAAACATGGGAGAGGAAGCAGAAAAGAGGATCAGAATAGATGATATGATATGATAGAAGGGAGAGTGGAGATGCCATGTTGCTGACGTTGAAGATGGAGAAAGTGGCCACAATCCAAGAAATGGGAATGGCCTCTAGAAGCAAGAAAAGCCAAGGAATCTCTAGGACGGAATTCAGCCCTGCTCACACTATGATTTTAACACAATGAGATGCATATCAAACTTATGAACTGCAGAAATATCATAAATTTATGTGTGTTGGGGGGGCAGCCATTAACTTTTTTTTAAAGTTCATTTACTTATTCCATGACTGAGAGAGACAGAGAGACAGTAACTCCAACAGGGTCTCAGTGTCTCAATCTGACCACAGCCTAAGCCAGCCCCAGATCCTAGACAGTTGAGTGCTTGGCATAGTCAGGCAAGTTTCTGGAAATGAATCCGGAATTTTCCCATGTGGATCAGTCTCCAAGAACATTGCATTTTACTGCCATACAGTATTAAAACCATCTAGCTCCAACTTTGTGATAAGTTCTTATGGCAGCCATAGTAACTAATACAACCACTTTAAAATGAAATTTTAGAACATCTAGAAAGAAAGTGGTAGGGACATACTTACCACTTTGCTACTTAGTTATGTGGTTCAAGCACCATCAGTAACATTTCAGAGCTTGTCAGAAGTTCAGATTTCCAAGCCCTGCACCCAACATCAAAATGCAATCAGTATTCAAGTTTTAGCAAGATGCTTGTGTGATTTCTAAGCACATTATACTTAGATATTTTCTGCCTGAGGGAATATCTCCCCTTATGCACAAAGCTATAGGTTTAAAAATTGCAGCATTAGTAAATGCAAACAATAATAATAATAATAATAATAATAATAATAAATCAATGCCTTTTAATCATATTCTTTATGGATAAATTCCTGTATATGTGTGCATGGCATCTTCAGAAAGTTCATGAAAAAATGCCTATTATGAAAAAACTGTAGTTGATTTTCTAAATTTTTTGTTCTAAAATAAACTCGTACTTTAGTTCCAGGTTTCCATTAACTTCGTGAGAGCCCCTTCTATGATGGAATACCATACAGCTGTGAGAATAAGTGAAGGAGGGCTTTAGGGAAAAAATTTAAAATAATGTTGAATAGCATGATATTTGTGCTGGAAAAAGCAATGTTGTACACTGTAAATATATATGTGATTAAATGCAAATTAAAATAAAAAATAAAATAATGTTGAATAGAAAAAAATGTTGCAAAGGGATATGTACAATACAATTCTACTTTTATAAAATTTTAATGCATATATGGGGCTAGCAGGTGGTGTGCTGGCTAAGGGTGCTGGACTCCCACATGGACAACTGTGGTTCAAGTCCTGGATCTGGTGACTTGCTTTCTCACTTTCCCTCTCTGATCAAAATGGAAAATAATAATAATGATAAATAAAGTTAGAGAAAATATTTTTTAAAATACTTCTATAAACATTTTAAGCATATAAAGTAGTACTATAAAGTGTTTACCGATACACACATATGTAACTAAAATATTAAAAAAATCATGAAGATGATCAATACCAACCTTAGGATAGCAGTTGCCTCTGGGGAAGAAAGGAAACTAGTGGAATGGGAAGTAATTTTGGCACAAGATTAAGTTATGACAAAGCTGATGGTAGGCACACCAGTGATTTTTTCATTATTGTGTTCATTTGCTTGATGACTTAAAATATTTCATAATAAAAAAGAATGTATTAATTTATTCATGGAATTTGTAGGATTTCTACACCCAGGAATTTACATCCATTTCTAACTTAAAAAAAAACAAAAGTACTTTTGCATCTATTTTTGTATTATTTGATTGAAATTCAAGTCAGCAGAAAATGACTAATCTGGCATTTTCCCTTTCAAGGCCCCCAGGGCCTTTAGTGGGTGTTGTACCAAAAGCCATACACTAACTTCCTGTCTTAGAGTCCAACTATAGTCTCACTTACTGTGACCTCTTTCTGCAATTGATCTCTGTGTCCACATAATGAAGTTATATGATCTAATGTGGTCTTTTCTTTGGGTATTACATTAAAAATTTCTGATCTTTTAATGAGGCTTTCTTCATAAAAATAAATGGCAAACAAAATTAATTTTTAAAAATTAAATTGCTAAAAATAAATACTAATTAACACCTTTTTAAAAAGAAAACCCTGGGGCCAGCAGGTGGCATAGCAGTTAAGGTGCTGGACTCCCATTGTGGTCAACCGGGGTTCAACTGCAGGTCCCAGACTCAGAGGCCTGAAACTCACACTGGACTTGTGTGTGTGTGTGTGTGTGCCCAAAATCCAAGAGGAGAATAGAGGAGAAGGGACTGTGGAATGGCCATCCCCTCCTGGAGGTGATTTCTCACTTTCTCTCTGTTTCTGTTTCTTTGGTGAGCTCATGCACCATATAACAAAAATCTCTCAAGCAATAGAAAAGAAAACCCTTGGTCCAGCAGATGGTGTGGTGGTTAAGGCACTGGATTCCCACATGGCCAAACCGTGGTTCAAATCCCAGACCAGGTGGCTTGAAAATCACAACCAACAAATACATAATTAAATAAGTGTTAAATAAAAAAAAAAAAAGAAGAAAATCTAAAATCCTGAATATTTCCAACATCTTGTACCCTATAGGCATACAACTTATACCTGTTAATTCCACATGTAGAAAAACAAATTCTCATTATTTACTATCACTTAAATATATTCAGTTCTATCCAGAATCACTTTTTTAAAATAAAATTTAGCTATTAATATGCTGAAAATGCTGGCATTATTTCCTTAATTTTCTTCTCTAAATCCATGCCATATAATGAAGGTTTACATGTGTGTAACTCCTGCTTTTTTTTTTCTGTGCGTGTCTTCAATATACAAAGCCAAATTTAAAGTAAAAATAGAGCCAAGAAAGTTTTTGTTCAACAAATTCCTAGAAACCAATTCCCCTGAGACATTTAAGTACTCAAGAGAATTTTTAGGAAAAAAAAAATAATCCATACCATAAAGTGATAAACAGATGTTTCCCATATGTTGTTTGCAGATAAGTCCCCATAGCTTATGTAATACTTTTTCTTGAAGTTTTGTCATGATAAATTCAGTTATCTATATACATCTTTGAGACAAATCACATGTGACAAACCAGCTGAATCTCAATTTCCATTGAAATAGTGCAGAAATTGGTGATTTAAATTTGCATTGCTACTTTTTAAACAATTCATAAAAAATAAAGCGTCATTTTCTCATGTCAGTTGTCTAAATCATGCTTCCATGTCTCTCAGGGATGTGAAAACCTTCCTCTCTGCACTTTTTAAAGTTCAGGTTAGCTTAGGTTCACCTTACGGCACCACTTAATTATCACTTAAGCATCATCCAAATGTTTTTTAACAGGAATTCTTAATCAGAACTCTTTCCTTCTCAAGGGTGTGATCTGGTTACTGTCCAATGTTCCTCTATCCCCATGGTGGGTTACTCAAGAAAATTTTTTGTTAGCTAATAATGATCATATCACAAAATATTCCCTTTTATGAAATCAGTTTGCATCATGCTTTTGTGATTTTAAAGAATGAAATGGCATTTATTTCCAGCAGAAGACTTGGCCATTAGTCTGTGCTGTTCAATGTGTTTAAGTGCAAAGTTTATTGCATTGGCAATAATGTAACTTCTTTTGTTCATAGGCTAATAAAGTCATCCTTTACTTCATTGTTCCCTCACAGGTAATGTCATGCTGTTGAGGGTATTACCTGCTGTGTATGAGAAACAACCTCATCTCATTAACAAACACCTGACAGAACTTCTGGCCTTGATGCCTCAGCTGCAGCAACCAGAACAGTACCATCTACTACGGCTTTTGCATGTAGCAGCGAGAAGGAAACAGATGGAGGTACAAAGCACATCAGATATGTGATGGTCAGCACTGTTTCTGGATATGTCACTACGATGTGTGCTTAGGTTTTCCTCTTGAGTTTTCTATAATGTCCATCTGTAAGTTAAAGTACTCATTCTACTTATTTTACACACACACACACACACACACATTACTTATTTTACACACACACACATACACACACACACACACACACAGATACACAAGAGATCTCCAACAAAAATTCATGGGAAACACATGTCATAAAAAACTACATATGGGTCAGTTGGTGGCATGGTGGCTAAGGTGGTTGGAACCCATATGGCCAACTGTGCGGTTCTAGTCCTGGATTCGGTGGTTTGAAAACATGCTGAGCACATGTGTATGCATGCCCCAAATCCCAAGACAAGAATGGAGAAGGGATTGTGGCATGGACATCTCCCCCCAAGGGGGTGCCTTCTTACTTTCCTTTCTGTCTTGTGCTCTATTTCTCTCTGAAAAGTGCTTATGCCCTCTAGCATAAGTTTAAAAAATCATAAAAAATAAGTATTAAAAGGTTATTTTAAGGACCAGCAGTTAGCGTAATGGCTATGTCGCTGGACTCCTATGTGGCCGTCCGCAGTTCAAGTCCCGGACCTAGTGGCTTAAACTCAAGCCGGGCGCATGTGGTGCGTGCCCAAGATCCCGAGAGGAGAATGGAGGAGAAGGGATTGCAGCGTGGCCAACCCCCCTGGGGGGTGATTTCTCGCTTTCTATCTCTCTGTCTCTCTGTCTTTCTGGCGAGCGCACGCATCCTATAGCAAAAACTTCTCCAAAAAAAAAAAAGGTTATTTTAAAAAACTGCACATGGATTTCAAGTTTTCTTTACAACAAAATAAACTCATACTCTAATTTTCATTTTTCCATAAAATTTTAGAAGTACGTGTGTGTGTGTGTGTGTGTGTGTACACTCACACAGTGAGCAACTGGCTCATGCAGTTATGGTGGCGAAGTCCCATAATCTGTCATCCATAACCTGGAGGCCAGTATATCTGATAGTGTAAACATACTTCCAGTCAGCACCAAAAGCCTGAGAACCGGAGGGCCAATCGTGTCCAGTCTGAGTGCAGGACACCTGTTGTGGCTCAAGCAGTCAGGCAGAGAGGAGTCTCTCTACCTTCACCTTTGTTCCATTCAGGCCCTCAGCCAATCGGATGATGCTTCCCCACATTGGAGGAACAATCTGCTTTATTCAGTCTACCCAATCAAGTGCTAATCTCATCCAGAAACACTCCCATAGACATGCTCAGAAATAATGTTTAACCAATTATACGGGCATTCTGTGACCTAGTCAAGTTGACATATAAAGTTAACCATCACAGGAACAGCAGTGAAAAGCAACACTGCAGGGTAGCTTTAGCAAAAATTGAATGTGGTCATACAGTTCTAGTAATCTGTCATTTCTTAGGTAGGGCCAAGGGAAAGACCTACACATGACCGGATTTCTGAGTAAATCAGTCAACAGTGAGAGCAAAGCCTCATTTTATATATAGCAAGTCGGCTGTTATTCTTTGGAGTGAAAAAAAGAGATTCAAGTAGGATGTTTGTGATTATCAGTAACAGAACATGGTTTCAACGATGAGAGAAATTTATAGCTAATGTGCCAGGAGATAAGAATCACATGAGGCTCGATCCAAGGGATCACCTTCTGTGAACAGAGCAGCTTCTCTATGTCCATTTCTCAGATTTGATTTCTAGGTTTTGGCTGCCATGTCTGCAAGAGTTCTCCCTGTCCTCCCAAGAGAAGTCCTAGGGCTCTCTATGCACTATGCCTCTCTTACATCCACCACCACCACCAACATCCTAGCAAATGTCTTGATGTTCTTTCTGTTTAGGACACATGATCTACTTCTAGAGCATCTCCTGAACCAGAGGATACTCAGACAAAAATTAGAGGCCCTCAGGGAGTGGGAAGTAGAAATAAATACTACAGGGACCAGCAGGTGGCGTGGTGGTTAAGGGTGCTGGACACTCCCACATGGCTGACCATGGTTCAAGTCCTGGACCTGGTGGCTTGCTTTCTCTCTGTCAAATTAAAAATAAATGAATGAATAAATTT